ATATATATATATATATATATATATATATATATATATATGAAAAACTCTTCCCAATGCCTATAGGCGAAAATGAATAGTGATTTCACTTACCCTCATCACTATCCAAACTTCATCGTACGGTCGCAGTTGTCCAGTAGTGTTTCATTTTTCATTTTTTTTCTACAAATTCAAATTACTTGAAATTTGGAACGTGTGTACATCTTAGTGAGGTTCACCTAATAAAAATATGAAAAAAATAATTTGTAAAATATAAATCAACCAAAATACCCCCTAAAATTTAAGGGGGTATTTTAATCAATTTAAATTTTGAGAATAATGTTTTTCATAGTTTTATTAGGTGCATCACACTAAGATGTACACACATTTCAAATTTCAAATCATTCCGATTAATAAAAAAAATAAAAAATAAAACACTACTGGACAACTGTGACCGTGCGATGAAGTTTAGATAGTGATCATAGTAGGTGAAATCACTGTTCATTTTCGTCTATAGGCATTATATATATATATATATATATATATATATATGGTATTTATATATATATATATATATTTATACATCTTGATGTCGAGATGATCAATTAGACGGTTTTCTAACATCAAAACAATATTTTATGATGGATTTTTGAGGTGCACCTTAATTCTACAGTTTAAGGTTGCAACCTTCTATGCACTTTTTCCATTACTTTATAGTGTTTACAATATGATTATAACTTTACACATAAATAAGGGCAATTTATGCAATTTGTACAATCTAGTGCTCAATATGGAACAAATTTGGCAATTATATATTATCAACTTTCAATCCTCAAATGTGTTCACCGAATCATTTTGTCTACCAAGGAAACTTTGGTTCCTAAACTCACACTAGGTTGAGTGTACACTTCATCAAAATAATCACTTAGGATCAGGAAATGTATCTTCGTATATCCATTAAGGTCCACATCTATCTAATATATGGCGAGCAGTGATTTCATGCGACCGTTTTATAGTAATATGATGCAACAATCTTAAAAAACTATTTTATGGCCATTTGTTTGATCCAAATTTTGAAATATGCATTCTTTTCATTCTAATGAACAATCACAAAAAAGATAAAATTGAAAACACAACCTAAAAGTATTTTTTTACCCCAATTAACATAAGCCGTTCATTTTGGTTAGATGCATAGATCTAGGCCTTAGAAGGATTTTTCTCATTTTCAATTTTTTTGGATGGCTTTATTATCATTAGATGAATGATATTACAAAAGGAAAAAATTATTTGAGCTTATGAAGGCTAAGATCTTGAAATTCACAAAATGAATGGTCTAGATTCGTTTTTGGAGGGGACTCATTTTGACCATATTTAGGGTTCAAATTGAACTTTTTTTTTTTTGGGGGGGATTGATTATTGAGATTAAGAGATTGTGTGTGCAAAATTTGGGGTCATACAAATACCACAAACATGGTTTTCTAGAAGTGTCGTTGCATTATACTATGATACAACCGTTGCATTGGATCATTGCTCAATATATGGCATCACTCAGGGTATGACCCTTAATAAAGTAGAATGGTGGATCATGATTCGTGTAGTCGACCCCAATTAATTGAAAAATAGCTTTGATGATGATGATGATTTATCTAATATGTGCTACTTTCAACTGTCCAATATCCAATGAAGCCATGGCTAATTCTTATCGATAATCAAGCCGTGACTACGAACCTCAAGCCCAAACCCACCTAAACCTTCATTCGTACCTCTTCCAAGGAGTATAGGTCACTTTATTGCAGTTAATACTGGGTATATCACTGTACACATAAATAAGAGTAGTGTACAAGTTAACGTTAGTCAATGGTTCATTTTGCACCATGTAGCCAACTGAACATCCTCCTCATCTGAATCGCCATATAATATCATGGAGCTCTCACTAGGATTTCCTTCAATAACACACTTCCCCATACAAAACCAAATATGGGTGGCACTAAGAAATGCCTCACCAGTAAAATCAATTCACTGCAGTTGTAGTGGTTTAAGAAGGTTGAGAGCTTTAAACTTTCTTTTAATCCGTTCTAAACCCGGATAAAGGATGTGGGTTTTGTTAGGTAGATATCCAGCGTAAAATTTTGTCAAAACTTTTTATGAATCCTGAATCTATGTTATCTAGACATGGTTGGAAGCAGTGAGAAAAAACATGGGACTTACGGCCTCACTGAGAGTATGACACTTTACAAAACAAAAAACAACATACCAAGATTTGTGTAGCCGATCCCAAATAGTTGAGACGTAGATACGGTGATGATGATGAGGTTCAACAACGTCTTAATTTATGCTTTTTGCTTGATCATAGCCGCATGTATAGTTACTTGATATTTTAAGTTTGGGCCTTAAAAAAATATTCATTTTAAGGTTTTGTTTTTTATCATTCATCCCCATTCATTTTTTAATCATTTGCAAAGTGCAAAGTTATGAATCTAAAGCAAAAGTGCATGTATAGTTACTTGGTATGTGTCTCTTACCCTAAATCCATATCCAATATAGATATTTGGAAAGGCACCATATTTTAATAGGCCCCTATGTAGACTATTTTTTCCAAATATGGATGCACAAAAATTTAAGATGCAGTCCAACTTGGTCCATTTTCCCCCGGGGGAGAGCCTATTTTGCCACCCCGCATATTTACCAAAGGGATTGTTGTAGGGGTTACTCAAATTATCCACAACCTGACTGTGGAGGGTGATTTAGCTAATGTCATCAATGTAATACCCATTTTTTAGATCTCAGCTCCCATCATGGACGAAATTATAGTTTCACCTCTCTGCGGGAGAAACCATTTTCAATCATGTCATTAGAGAGAAACCATGCGCCTGATAGCTTAGCGAAAGAGGCGACAAATCTTCAATGGAATTTCAGTTCATCGCGTTGAAATGTTTTTTAGTATTCTTTCTTTTTCCTGTGTTTCTTTCTTAGTGATTGTACCTCTTCATATTATAAATGAAAAACTTGTTAGTATATACAATGATGAGGCCCCAAACAATCAAATTAAGATGCAGCTAAAAAATTCATCAGAAGATGTTTCGATGCCCAAAAAATCCTCAAATCGATCATCTCGACCTATGAACATGAGAAAAAATGGATTTCAAGTCTTACAAAGAATTCATATTGTAAAGCAATTTCTAGACCTGTCAATTTTTTATATTTACAAGTGTTCACGGATCTACGCAATCTACACTAATTTTGAAGTTTTAAATTTTATAATTAGAGATAAAAATAAAATTTGAGGGTGTCACCAAGATTTCCATAAACATCTCTCCATACCATTTGCAGGTATTTCTTACTTCGATTATTTAGGGCCTCAATCTTATGCAAACCACATCCTTTTGAAAAAAGGGGACAAACAATTAATATAGTTTCCTTTTTTCCAAAAAAAAATACCGATTTTAAGGATTGCATAAAGGTAAGCACGACTACCTTTTTGATATGACTACTAGCGCAACCAAGCAGCACCTAAACTTACAATCTACTTTCACTATAATGCCTTGGTGTTGCCATTCTAATTTTCATTTTTTGACTACCTTTTTTATGATCTAAGACTTCTTATTTTCGAAAATAGGGATCACATACCATGAGCGTAGTGAAGATCACGCAGGAAACGTCACGTCACTGCAGCCATCTGATGTCAACACCAAGAGCAAGGATGGCATGACTTCTCCAACAGAACCTTCACTCGGCTCATTCAAGACATTTCCATTTAGCAATAAAACAATTGATCTCTAATTTTGCTCAGATAATCTTCTAATTAGCTGATGTTAGAGGTTGCTGCTACGGTTTTTTATTTAGGTACGAGTGTGTGTGTGTGAGAGAGAGAGAGAGAGAGATGAACAATAATCTTTCTAACGGTCATAAATTTAAGGAACATCACAACTAATCACTGATTAGCAGTAACCAAACTGATGAAATTGTATAGAGCCAATAAAAGTAAATCAAGAATCCTTGAACTTCCTAATAGTTGAAGAAAAGGTTACGCCAACATAATAAACCCTTTTAACCTACAAATACCAAATTAGGGCTTCCAATATGCTAGCTGCAGACCCTCAACACTGTAAGGTCTGAACGCAAATAGTCAAAGCGTAAAGCGATAACATTTTTTTTTTTTCTTTTTTATTCTCAAGGGTCAACAGTGGGATCAGAACTGAGGACAGGGTGCAACAATGAAGACCATAACGATCAAGCCACTTACCCAAAACTTGACATGGCATCACTAATGCAAGTTAACTAGTCAACATTAGCCAAACCATGTGAAACCTAAAGAAGACAAACCATTCTGTAAAAGCAAGAGAACCAATGGAACTTCTTCAAGCTGCAACTTCACCACCCATCATCTAAGAGAGAGAGAGAGAGAGAGAGAGAGAGAGAGAGAGAGAGAGAGAGAGAAGAAGAAGTAACAATACTATAGTTAGTACGTAGTAGTAAGTAGTACGTACGTACCGTAACGTAACGTAACGACGTAACGTACTTACTACTTACTA